AGATATTAGCTGATGCAAACAGAGACAGGGGTTTATTTGTTAGAAGAGAACCACAGCAGCCTATTTTCCTTTTGTGTCAGGTGATGTAGATTATGTTGTTTCCTCACTCCGCCTGACAGGATGAGGAAATTATAGGCTCTGACTCACTGTTGGCTTCTGAGTCCTGGCACATCACTGCCCTCCATCACAAACCGGCATGGGAGAGCAGGAGAGAAACCTGACAACAGAGGAGAAAGGAAGATGAGGAGGCAGGGTGGTAAAAGGGAGAGGAGAGAGAGGAGAAAAGGAGAAAGAATGAAAGGCAAGAACAGAGTCTGGAGAGTGGGACTTAAAAAGATGGGAAGAGAAGGGGGGGAAACATGAACTGACAGAGAGGTGAAGGAGGAGAGAGAGGAAAAGGAGAGGAGGAGGAAGCAGGAGGGAGGGACAAAAAGCTGGGCTGTGTGCCAGGGTCTATTCCACCTTTGCTCTCCAGGCCTTTCTGAGCTGCCACCTCCTCTCACCTCGGTAATGTCATCAATGAAAAGGCCTTTAGGAGGGATGGAGGACTTGACTCGGGGTTCAGACTGTGACCGACACCAGCTGACGCTGCCAAGCCAAGCAGGATTCTGTTAGAATTAATTGGATGTCACTTTCAGGTAAAAGGAACAAGGCAGGTTTTTTTTCACGTTCCTGTTACTCGTGCTCCTTTACAGCATCAGAAAATTCTGCTGCATTTCGGTTGACGAAACACACTCAGTGATCTCAAAACGAGGCTGCTTTTCTCTCCTTCCTCTACCAGGAGGTACAAAGTTTTTACTTCAGAGGCAAAAAATGTGTCAGTCATTATAAATAAAGACAGATAATCCATTGATTTTGACTTTAGGGTTTAACATTACCCCAACATACTGCATTAATAGTAACACTTTGGCTCCAACTAACAGTTATTTTCATTATTGATTAATCTGTTGTTCATTATTCATTAATCTTTTGATTACTCTTTGCACTATTCATTTAATAGCTTAAAAAGAAATAATCAGAAAATTGCCTGTCATAGTTCCTGGGAAGCCAAGGTGACACCTTCAGATGTAACAACAGTCCACAGACCAAAGATAATCAGTTTAAAATATGAAACAGACAAAACAAAAAAAAAAGTCTGAGAAGCTGAAATGAACAAATATAGTAAATGTTTTTCTTTTCAAATGACTGAAACAATTAATCGTTGATCAAAATCAGTCAGAGACCCATATCGAATTGAAACAGGTTTTTCTTGCTGCTTTCGTTCATCGAAAAAAAAAATCCCTCCAGTGCATTTTCAAATGACGGGAGACAAAATCCACAGTTTTCTTCTGTGCATAACTGTCTTAAAAAGTTTATCTGAAGTTAATATGAAATTTGAGTCCCCTGAGACCAGTCATGTGGTTGTCTTCCACACTGACCTTTTTACTACAAAATTCCCTCCTTTCCCTCGCAGAAACATACAGTAAAGAGGGAATGCTGGGCTAAAAATACTGTAACTTTGGAGGATATCCTCTTGTCAGACATCTGAAACTTCATATTAGCTTTACACCAGCGGTTCCCAATCTTTTCCAACTCGTGGCCCAATTGATAATCTTAAAAAATGTTGGCGGCCCATATCCAACCCCACAACAATAGGGAGGCCAAAAGATGCGTTCTCGGAGCACTTTTTATTGTGATGACAATGGCTGATCATTCAGGACTGAGCTGAAAGCTGGGGAAACTCAGTTTTTCATCACTTGTAAATTCACCTTTTGTCTCTCAACTCTCTTTCCTTGTAATTCTTTCTTTTGCTAACCAGCTATCCATTTTGATACTCTGAGGCTTCTGCAAACAAGGATTCCACATTTTGTCCTGCTCCATTGAAAACGCATTATGAATGTCCACTATGAACAGGAAGAATGACAACAAGCAATAAAAAACCTTAATCACTGTTTATGAGGGCACCTGACACATTTGAAGAAACTACTATCTACATATCAGTGGATTTATTAAGGCATGACAAACAGTTATAACCTGGTTTTGTAATATCCTGGTGTAGTAGTTTCACGCCTTAAGGGTTCTAGTTTTTAACTACTCATCTAGAAACCTTGAAAAGTCAGCCAGAGATAGTGTTTTTTAACCAACTCATGAAACTTATGGCAGCTTAATTAACCCGTTACAGCTGATAAAGTCTGTTAGCGAGAGTTTTAATTTCAGACGATAAATTTTAGGACTAGAAATGAGAAAGCTGCTTTTCTCTGCCTTTATCTGAAATCAAGGACCTACTGACTAAGAATTTCATTGTAAATTGCATGTTGACAGAGTAAATCCTCCACCAGTGAATCACTTTCAAGTGGTGAAAGACATATATTTCACATTAGTTGTTTGAAATAGCTTTCACTGTAACATTTCATAAGATAACTCACTTTCATACGAGCACACATTTCATCTGTGCTCACTTTTTGCAAAGGGCCAGTGTCTTTGTAACATAATTGGCATCATGAGTAATTATAGCTGACTGAATCTGGACTGATGATGTGGGGAATCTACCTGTCCACTTGTTGTTTTGGTTCATTCTGTCGCAGACACTTCGACGTGAGCTGGGCTGAGTTCAGGCCTCAACAAACAAGCTGACAGACAGGGTGGGTTCTTCAAGCATGAAATAAACAACACGATATGAAAGTTCAGAGGCCAACTTGTCTCTTTTTTTTGTTCTTTTTGCCCGTTGTTATGGAACATTTATCTTAAGTGACCTGATATGTGGCTGTTCTGAAGCTTGACGAGCACATAGGAAACTGCGCTTTAAGTTATTCACTGTGTTAACTGTTCGCAGCATCTCACCGCTTCTTCCCACTCTATTCTGCAAGAAAAGCTTCAGGCTGACACCAGTGTCAGAGCAACAATATGTGCACATGCATCCATACACATGGGCTGACACACCACCCACCACACCACGAGCTGTGCGCACCTCCACCGACGGCTCCAACTGTGAGAGTATTTCACAGCCCTGACGAGGGCTATAATGTGCAATATGCTCACTAATTCAGTCGCTCTCTCCCTCCCAGTGTCTTTTTTCGCCCTTAATCTCTCTCCTTCTCTCTCACTCTATGCGTCTGTCACCATGGCATCTGTTGATGTCCTTTTAGCTACTGGGGGCTCAATCTGTCCAGAAGGCCCACTCCGCTGCCACTCTGGTGCCATCTCCCGGTGATCCATTTATGCTCTACAGTTGGCGTGAATGCCGCTCCGAGACTAAGCCCTTAATTACCACTAGAGTAAAGAGCATTAAAGGTTCGGAGGGGTGTGGATATGATCCATGAGGCTTTGCAGCATCTGTTGAACAGTGTGGAGCTAGTGGGAAGCTGGGCTGAAGAGTTTGTTGGGCTGAAGACTGACAATGGAAATAGGATAGATGAATGGAAGAGGAGTTCTGCTAATACTTACCATTTTATCTTCTTAGTAAATCCTCACAATCTGCATTTCAAATTGTGAAAGACATGGTGGAATTGGTGGTAACTTTTCTGGGTTGCTTCATGGCACAAACAGATAGTTTACAGCACAAAAGAGGAACAGGAAACTGAGTCTCCACGTAGCAGATGGTGGAGAAAATGAAAAAACTGATGTAAAAAATAATGTCCAACATGTTCATCCACAAACCAGAGAGAAAACAATCACAGAGATTGAGCTGAGACAAGCGTCAAGAGTCCGATTTGATTATAGTAAATGTACAAAAAAATTTGTGAATGAGCCACAATTCATTTGACAGTGGTTATGTTGATATCAAAGCCAGATAAGCTACAATTTGCTCTATGGGTTTGGTAGTTACATCACATTCTCAGATAATGTCAGTGGAAGATAGTAGATAATCCATAAATGCAGGGTTAAATGTGGAACGCTAATGTAGTTTAATCCTAATCACAGTGTTGCTATTGTTATTTCTGTCTATTCTGTACTTAGAGTCCAAATCTATTGCCTGTTTGTCGATCCTGGTAGAGCGATCTTTCCTCTGTTTTCTTTCTCTGTGTTCTTCCTGAAGTTTCTTCCTTCTCTGTGTCTGTTCTTTTCTTGGTAAACAGTAATTTAACACCAGGATGAAAAGCAGAGTTTCTCTGCCCTGTCGGGTTGAAAGCATCAAGGCTGTTTCACCTCTGAGTAAAGGGAGCATGAGCATTGTTGTAATGACCCATGAGCACTGCTGGATAGATTGTAAACTTGAAATTTTGACCTATACACATGAAACTAACTTGAATTGAACAATTTAGAAGATAAAGTGAAAAGGGATGAAGAAAATACAATGATAAACAATGATTAAAAAAAGCAATGATAAACAATCTTAGATTAGTCAGATGAAGGGGCTTTCAACCAATTCCCATTCATTACAGAATTTTGTAGAAACAGTGATGGTTGGATTCATGAATGATTTTAAGAGTAAAAGGTTTTATCATCCTCATGTTGTTAATGTCATGATGAGATGCCAAAGGCCATATTTCCTGTTTGTTTTGTTTTAATCAGGCAACAACACAGCCTTGTTTATGCCCCTACGCTCAACTTAACCTTTAAGTGATGAGGATGTTGACCCTAAAATCCACTGTGTATGTCCCCTTCAGATACTTCAGCATGCACTATGTTGAGTGATAGTCAGATAATGGTAGTTTTGTGCTGGGTGAAATACCAGGGGTCTATTTTTCTTCTATTCAGTAAGTAAAAAGTGTTTCCCAAAGGCAGCCAATAGATTAACACTTGGTTCCCACAGCAATCATGGAGCTATATTGATCTAGTAACATTTTTGTTCCTTTGCACAAGCTTGTATTACTCAACATACTGTATGCATCACTATAATGATGCATAGGGAAAGTTTGGGGGATTTCTGTGTGCTCTCACAGCTAAACAGGTAAGTTGAACCTCGGGCCAGTCTCCCAAAAAATTCACTGTGTTGCCTGAACAGATTAGAGAAGTGGAATATTTCACAGCAAGATGAAACCTGTGAAGTCAGAAATTAAGGGAGCAATTGTGTTTTGCAGGACTTTGCCGATTCAATATTCCACTTGGTGAGGGAGAAGTACCGGTCGCTGGTGGGCGGCTGCAGTCCTGCGCACGCTCGACACAAATCCCTGGCAGGCATCGTAATGACCCGAGGTATGGCAAATTTCATTGACTTTTATATATCACTTTGAATTATTGAAGTGGTGCAATATAGAGTGAGTGAGGGAGGCAAAAAGAGAGAGAGAAGGGACAAGATATGGGAAGGAATTCTAGATTGAGAGAGAAACTATAAACTGAAGGTGGGGAGAGAGAGTTTCCACACCATGCTGTACCTTGGGCTTGTGCAGGAGAGTGTACCTTCCTGATGAATTATTGACTATTCAGGGTCTCTGAGGAGAATGAGACATGGTAGTGAGTGTCACTCATCCCCACTGCATGCTGGACTCGCTGTACTCAGGCAGCTTTGACAGGAGTTCCAGATGCCACAGTGGGAATCTTAACAAGATCATCTTAAAACTTAATCTGAAAGCCGACTGAGGAGGAGGAAGCTTCACACTGTTGTTCTCCTGCAGCATGAAACAATGAGTTATTACTACACATTTATCTTTCGTGCTTTATTTATCTTTCATGTGTGGTGTTTGTTGCACATTACATCAGGGCCTCCCACACAAACACAAGTGCACACAAAAAGCACAGAGACCGGCAACAGTATGCACAAACACACACTCCACATCTCTCAGAACACAATATGTGCACTGATGCAAATGTTCCCACGGTACCACACATGCCCACGTAGACCTCAGGATAAAATCTAAAGCGTTTTTAAAATGTTATTTTTAAAAACTGGAGAATATTTGAACTCAACTTTTTACATAAAGGTAAGCTAAATCATTACCAAAGCCAGGCTTTGTTGTTGTTGTGCTATTAGCATGTTAGCTGTGCTTGTTGTGTATTTCAAGTTCACTATTTTGCACCTTTCAGGCCACATATAGGCTATATTAACATGATACTGTATGTGAAGTAAAGCATCATTATCATACCAAAATAGGAAGCAGAAGACAACACAAAGCTGACAACTTATGAAATGAGAAATCTATCAGCTGACGTGTATGTTGTTTCACAATCGTAGCAGAATACGAAATAAGCTTCAGACGATTAAAGTATTTGAATCAAAATTTAAAGAAATTATTAACAGGCACTTAAAGTTGTTTAACTTAATCAAACTACAGCGGCGAGTCTCCCCAATGTCTGCAGGCAGAGGGTTTGTAGTACTGAATAGTCTAAGCAGCGAGCGTACACAGATATGGTAAGCCTGCAGGGGGAAATATATCCGTCAGTCACTATGTAGGATATATGTAGAGTGCTGAAGTGCATGTCTTGTTACTTTCTAAGGTGAAGTAGCTTAAGAAGAATGTTTGGTTTGTTTGGTGGGAGCAGCACGCTGCCAGTGATGCAACATGCTGGTTGTTGGCTAACACGTTGTTTGCTGATTGTGTGAGCTGGAGATGTTGTAGACAGGAGTGTAAGCTTTCTTGCTTGCTAAAGTGAAGTAACTGAAGAAGACTGGTTGGTTTGTTTGGACCATGGCATTCAGATGAAACTGCTTATCAAGCCAGTTAGCCGAGGTAGATATGAGGCTGGGTGAAGCCATCAACTATCTGCCCTTTGCTTGAATGAGGGTCGGATTCAGAGGCAGTTTAAATGTATGTTAGGACAGACAGACAGACAGACAGACAGACAGACAGACAGAGGAGAGAGACAGCAGACAGGCAGACAGACAGACAGGCAAAGCAGGGCAGGCAGGCACGCAAGACAGAGGATATATAGATTAGATAGATAGATAGATAGATAGATAGATAGATAGATAGATAGATAGATAGATAGATAGATAGATAGATAGATAGATAGATCATTTATTTTTCCCTTTGGGGAAATTCATGTCTGTGCCAGAGAATGGACTCACCTGGCAGAGACATCATATAACATGAATACTGAATAGTCCATAAGAATTCTCAAACAACTTTTGGTATATTTCAATGTGTGTGTCGATAACTGACCAAAATAATGACCTAAGCCACAAGAAATGGAACCAAAATTAAAATTAACAGCTTCCACAGCAATATATTAGATAGAAACACATTCATTAATAGTATGTTACCAAACATAGGGCTTTTAATTTGTGGGATATAATACAAAAATGACAATACTCACATAAATGCACGCAGGTCTACACGAGTGGAGTGCACGCCACACACACACACACACACACACACAGACAGGAGTGTTATCTCCCTGTGTGGCTGCAGACTGTGGGGGTGCAGGGGTCAGTGAGGAGGGATTGGTATCGCTGCTGTCTTTGGAGTGCTGCAGCTCATCAGTTTAGACTTCAGTGAGACTGGCGCTCATCCTGACCTAATCCAATCCCTCTCCTCTCCTCTGCCTCCCAGTAATTGCTTCTGTTTGTTTATTAATAGCACATGTTATCTTCAAAGATCCAGACGTAGGGCTGCCAAGTATTCGCAGTGAGGCAGCGGCTGCAGCAGCAGCGGTGGTGGTGTGGTGGCCAGCGTCCGTGCAGTCAGACACCAAACTTGATAGGAACACTGGGGAGTCCTGTTCGGTTTCTCCCACCACCACCACCACCACTACCACCCCTCTCTCTCTCTCTTTCTCTCTGTCTTTCTCTGTGTGTCTCATGCCCCTGCTTTTGCCTCAAGAATATTAATCAGGATCCGTCTTTGAACCGTAGACAGACAGCGAACCCCCCACCCTTGCTGGAGTCCCACTGAGACAGTTGAGCCTCAACCTGAGTGAGATTAGCCTCGCCACCAGGCTGAGAGTTGCGAAACGACCGCCAAAGTAAACCGCCAGCGCACATTGTCAAATATAGTGGAAAATCTCATTTGAATCGGTCCGAGATAGCATTGGGTGTCTGGAGATAGTAAACAGTGTTCAGATGTGCTCAGAGACATGAAAAATCAGGAACATCCACATGGAAAAATGCAAACGACCCCACCCCACCCCCCTTTCCTCCTCCGTTTTTAAAGTTGTTTGTTGGGTAGGACCAGAGAACTTTCTTCTGCGGCTTTTTTATTGAGTCTCCGGGTGGGAAGAAATACCACAGGGACTCAAAGAAGAAGATGGGAGCGAAGGGAAGTTGATTACAAATGGCAGTTAAGCTATGGTTCTTAGTCTGGATATCCATTTTCAAATGGGGATTTTCCTCGACTCTTTATCTGTTCTTCCGGATGCTGAAATTTTAACGTTCAGTAATCACATCTGGCAACAAAACAGCTTGCTAAGAGGCAAAAAATTTAGCAGAGATGTGCCCAGGGTGTGTTTTGCAGCAGAGAGAGAGAGAGAGAGAGAGATTTGAGAGCTTCAGTAGCATTTCACAAAGACACCCTTATATGTTCAGAGCGGTTGCCTGTTAAAGCTAATAAAGATTCAACAGGGTGCATTCTCTGCTCTTGCCAAGATGTTTTTCCTTTTTTTTTTTTTTCTCGCACGCTCTGGAAGTGCTGAGCATTTTCAGAGATTTTCTGTGATTCAAACGACACACGCTGGATGACATTCAGTGTAATCACCCAGCATCTTTTGATGAAAGAACACAAGAAAGCTACGATTTATGGAGCTCAACTTAAATGGCATATAAATGAGTTTACTAAAAGTTGACCTTGAGAGCTCATTTTGCTTTAGAAGAAAATGTTTTAATGTCTCCTTTATGGTGCTAAGAGATAATGTGTGCCTTATTAGGAAACATTTTCCCCCTGTTGTATAACCATAGAGAATAAAGGGATTCAGATAATAGTTCTGTAGCGTCTTGTCGATTGCAGTTGCCTTGTGTAATAATGGATCAATGTAAAGTTCACAGTCATGTCATTTATATGGATCTTTATGTTTGATACTCCCCGTGGGTCCTTATTATGATTGCTAGTTATTTAGTCATAGCCATTAATTCTAACGTTTTACCTAGAATTGATCATTTTGATTTTGAGGCTTTATCCCTGATATCCTGTATATTTGCATCAGTTCAGTCCATCGGTCTCTGAGGTGGTGCACAGTGGGTGACTTGTTAGCGCTGACCACGACCAGCTCGAGCCTTTTGAGTTTTTAGGCTCTTACTGTGTTTGCACAGGTTTGCTCCAGGTGCTCCAGTTTCTTTCTGTGGTGGAGGAACTATATATTCAGACCCTTTCCTCAAGTAAAAGAAACATTACAGCAGTATAAAAAGTTAAAGTCTGTATTTACGTGTTGAAAGTAAAAGTAGTGTTTACACAATACTTTTTTACGGTTTTTAATCAATTTGACAAATACACACAATACAAGCAAATACAGAAAGTGAAAGTAGCCACTTAACACTTGGGAGGACACGAAAAAGTGATGAACATAGCTGTTCAATGCTTTGACTTTTTAAGTTTAAAGCATTTAGCAACAAGTGCATCCCAGTTGGGTTCATCACTTTTTTGTGTCCCCTGGAAACACTTCCGTTGTCGTCTGTGCTACTTGCAGCACATGTTGGTGTTTGGTTGTGTTGTGAGCAGTTGTAGCACATGTATTGTAAGGTTGATGTTTTGTCTATTAGCATGTGTTTTCTTAGGTAGCAGTGTATTGAGTTCTTATGGCTGTCATACTTTTTTATTTAATATGATATGATATGATTATATGATATACTATTAGATTATTGTTACAAGGGTTTTCACCTGTAAGTGAATGTTGTAGCTAACCAAGGTGAAGTTAATTTCAACTACTTATATGATGATTATAAGATTATATTGTAGAAAGTGCAATATCTCCCTCTGAAATGTAGTGGAGTGAAAGTATAAAGTGGAAAATAGAAAGACTCAAGTCAAGGAGAAATATCTAAAAGTGTAATGGAGTACTGTACTTGGTTAAATACTTATTGCACTTACTTTCATGTGTTCTGATGTTAGCATTACTCTTGATCATTTGATCAAGGCAGTGGACTCAGACCTGGACTAGGGTCCTGGGTGCTGGCTGCCCACTGTTACTAAACAGTCTGGATTTGTCAAATACAAATGGTGAATTTTCCAATGAGGATTAATAAAATATAACTTGACTGTTGACTTGATGGGGTTATTCATTTGTTACATTGTTTGTTAATCACCCTCAAGATTTCATCTAAAGCAAAC